GATTTGGCATTTTCAAGATATAAATGCTAACAGCTAACAGTTAACAGAATAAGCACTCATGTATCCCTACCTGGATCTGGTAAATTCAAATCATTAAACATAACTATCACTGTAAAGGATGAGAATGGCAAATAGACCACCACATCATAACCACTCATCCACAACACAATATTGATAGACAAAGAAACAGCAATCTCAGGGGCACCCAAGTTATGATTGCTAAAATATAAGGCACGGACGGCCATAGAAGGCTAACAAAATCAAATCACATTAACTAAGCAAAACGAAACAACTACACGTATTGTTCTAACTCTATAGCAATGCAAGTAGGAGAATGAAAAATCATGATTAACATCTCCTGATAAAATATATAAAATAGCATACATAAAGATGTTTCACGGTAAACCCTCATGCATCTTAACCACCAAAGATATAAATCCTTGCTTGTCTCATACATAAAATAGACTAACACCTGCCACTAAACTATCATACCTAATCACCCATAAAAAAGCGCTAAATGTATTGGCCACCTAAAACATAAAAGCCTGTTCTATCTAGCCTGCCAATATAAGACTAACCACGATGAACTGCTGCACAGCTAATCTAACAACTATTAATTAATACTTAGCAAATCTCAATGCCTAACTGACCTAAGGTCAATTGACAGTAAATTTACGCGATAAAAAGACCCTCTATTGAGCAAAATAAACACAACTATGATAATTACAATTATACCTACTTAGTGAAAATATAGAGAAAATTTACTCATTAGTACAAATTATAACAAAACAGTTTATTTATAAAAACGAAAGTGACTTTTCAAGCAGACCCTTTTTATAAACATCAAAAAAATAAAACCATTTAATTTTAATAGCACGTTATAATACCCTTTAAATTTCAAAACACTCTATAAACATTAGCTTTTAAATCAAATGTATAACATTAACTAATACATTAGTAGCCAGTCTAATGGCCCTATTGGGGGGTATCAGAGCTGCCTAGACCAGTACAGTTTCCTTCTCTGAAGCGACGTGTAATTGTCTATATTCTTCATTTTCCATCACTGGAAGTAGTACATGCATTTACATTGAGATGGAGGTATTTCAAATATAGGTTCCATATGTTCCTTAACTTTCACAAAACCCTCAGGTTTATGCTCAACTTCTATTATGATACGTAGAAAAGATGAAAAAGAGGAAAAATAATATTTTCCATCTGAAAGGTTACAACACAAAATTTCAAAAACAACTATTTTTCTCTGCTCAGACAGTGAGATGGTAACAGTGGTCATTCTAAACACGGGATAGTCTTAAAGCTAAATTTTCAGCATACGTAACTGTGCACTCATAGAATCTCGAAACTGGAATTACCTATATTTACAAAGAAAGTAATAAACTCTTGGTAGGTTATGTACAACTGGTAAGCCTGCTGCTGTTATCCAAAGTGAGGAGTTATCCGTATTATTAACAGTAACATTCAATATTTTATCCGTTTGTTATGAAGTTCAAAGCTGCCCAATATGTCTACCAGTTACTGAGCTCCAAGTTTCAGTGTATAAGCTCTCAATTTACCCCCTGAGCCACTGGGGGTATGAGTTTCAGATTTTGTGCTTCAGAACATTGCGCCATCTACAGCAGAAGTAGCCCGTTCTCACTTCATGACTAAGCCTATTCTATAAGATATTATGACACAAACTGCTATAAAGTAACAGCATTTTATAACTTCTATACTAATCTCCGGTTTCCTGGTAATAGAACATGTTTATGGCACCATTGTCTAAGTAGTATGCACACCAACGCAAAAAGATCCTGCTCAAAGTTATTAGAGGTGAGCTGTGAATTAACAAAGCCATAAAAATAACACAGAGAAAGAACTGTGTATAGATTGTTCTAGTATCACTGTCTTCCTCTTTTTTTAGTAGCTCAAAAGTTGAAAATATAAAATTTATATTTGCGTACAATCTTTGCTTATTTACATTCAAAAGTAAATAAAAAAGAAACGCATTAACGTTAGTCATATATTGTGACTAGTGTTTACACTATTTACTGTTAGAGCAGAGTTATCTTGTTATGCCAGACTAGGAGTAATCTAAAAGTTTCAAATTAAATACATAATTAAATAATCGCACTTCTTGACACTTTTTTCATACAACATTTTTTAGAAACACCTGCTTAAGAGCCGTTGTGAGCACTAGCAGCATCTCAGCAACATACCATGCTTACTGAGTACCACTTTCACATACCTGTAATTACTCATACGACTCCCTAGGATTATGATCCAAAGTGCTTCATACATTCACGTTATTTATCAGTCAGTTTTAATATTCAACATATAATTTTATTGTCTACATGTCTGAGAAATTACACCTTAACATACATATTTTTTCCTTTTCTTTCAGACCTAGTTTCTTATTCTCTCAATTAACACTTTTAGGTCTTCAGGAGAAACTTAGAACATTCAACCGAATATCAACATGACATTGACATAGATTAGACCCCCGTTCTTATTGAAGACAATATAAATTTCAATTACTCCTTCAAACGTCGACGGTACACTAAAAGCAGTCTGAATTATAAGACACCGTCCTTATTGAAAACCACATAATATGAGCTCTATTACCTGCTCAAAAGGAATTGATACATCAAAAGTCTGGATGACAATACTCGGAATTAAAAGTGCCCTTCCTAAACACTTTCATTGCCATGTTTACGTTGCTGGTAGCCAAGGATGAATTCTTGCGTGTTGAACAAGCAGAAGTTCTCTAAAGTATTCATTTGTATAAAGAGGTAGAAATGTGATTGGTGAATTACCATGTTTACCTATCTGGAGTCATCATAAAAACTTAGATTCCTTTATTGTATATTAGTACTTGTGACGTCCATGTGCTCTCAACACCCTCTAGATTTCAGCCTGGCTGTATCTCAAGTATTCCAAGCAAGTCTGTGTGGTGGCTGTATTATATTTGTTTTCCCCAGTTAGCCATCTGATCGTGTGAAAATAATTATTATTCTGCAAATAATTCAGTGTAGTCTTCTCCTGATTTTCATCATAACTGTTACCAAAGTATTCCACTAACAACCTGTGATGTTTTTAAAAACCCAATACTTGGTTCTCTATGCATCATTCCCAGTTCCTTATTCTTCACCTATTGTGCCTACACGTAAGCCAACAAATGATTTTATACTTATTGCTACATCCGATAAATGACACACTTTTTGCATTAGGATATATCTTTATAACCAACATTACAGCTTGCCGTTAGGGCAGCAAAAAAAGTGCGTTTCATCTATTTTTTCAAAACTGTATTTGCATGTATTATAGTATTCTTAGCTTCCCTTAAAACGCTATCTGTTTTATTGATTAGTTTCAAGACTTTCTAGTGTATTAGGATAAAATTTTCACTTATAAAAGACTCACAAAGCTTGATATTTACTACAGATCTTCTGTTCAGTCAAATAATTTGCTGGTATATTTGCCTTGATTGCTTTAATTTTTGTACAAAATTAGCTAGGAGTGTTATTTTTGTAATGATTGTTTGAATATGCTTTCTATTGAAAGTTCAAAGTCAGTCAACAGGTCAAGGTCACAGCTGAAAGGCTTTTGCACATTACGTATTTTACTTTTAAAATACACAAAAAATTGTTTGTATGGAAATTATAAAATCAACCTTTCAGGTTTTGATCTAATTTTGACAGAAGAACAGTAACATTAACATAAAAACGTCCCCAACCTGATATAGGTTCCTTGTATTTAGGAATGACCCTTGGCTAAAATAGACTGACGGATAAAAGATGTTAAGTTCTCATGTTAGTAGGAGCATTACTTGTAATGTAAACATAAGTATCCAAAATTGATACTATACGAATGTGCCTATGGGTTCAATTTGAATGAACTCAAATTTATAAGATAAATATTATAATACTAAGTCAAAGATTTCCATTAAGCCACATAAAATATAGCTAAAAGCTTCGATGTATAAGAGCAGACATCAACTCACACAACTATAATGTAAGCAATTGAATAATTTGGTTTGAAAGGATGTAAGGCTTCACTAACTTTGTTAATAACGATTTTCAAAATGCAGAGTTATGGTAACTTTCCAAATAATGAAGCTATTATCTGGTTTTGGAGTTGTTAATAAACTGACTCTGACCTACTTCATTTTAAAAAATGTATTAAATACTGCATTTAAATAACCAATGTTCGAATATACTCTTTATATCCAAGTTAAGACGGTAAAACAGGACAGAAATAGTAGTACCCTTTTCTGCTTATTCTTTTAATAATATATTTACATATGTTAACATGTTTCTTCAGGAGTAAATAGGGTTTTTAAGATTGTGACCTGTCTACCTTATTAAGATTGTGACCTGTCTGCTTTATTAAGATTGTGGCCTGTCTACCTTATTAAGATTGTGACCTGTCTACCTTATTAAGATTGTGTCCTGTCTACCTTATTAAGATTGTGACCTGTCTACCTTATTAAGATTGTGACCTGTCTACCTTATTAGGATTGTGACCTGTCTACCTTATTAAGATTGTGACCTGTCTACCTTATAATCGCACATGATTTATAACAGTCATGAAATTTTAACTCTTTTGCTTACATAAAAAACAGTACAAACTAAGGTAATAGCTATCAGAGTCGATCAGTTACACATTAGTTTAAATTTATAGGGCTGTTTTCTAAGAATACTGGTTGGGTACGGCACATTTCCTTGATATTATCCCTTCTCTACAAGCTATATATCTTCAATAATGTGAAAACAAAACAGGTAAAGGAGATAAAGCTGGATAAGATTACGGTCACACCTCCAAAAAAAAAATGACTTCAGACACTTACACAATTTATTAAACCATCTGAAAATATAAAATGTGATTTTATATATCATACGATATCCATTTGCTTTTTTTTTCAGTTTTGTGGTTAATTTAGAATGTAGTCACACTATATAAATGACTGTACTTAGTCCTAGAAGTTTGGAAAAATTATTGAAAACCTGTATTTTCAGGCAATCCTTTCGTGACAGACGGGCATTCATTAATGTTGCATGCCTGTCTGGTGTTAGGTCGTTTGGCCAGATCACACTGTTGACTAATTTGTTGCTCCAAGTCTACACACGTGACACTTCGTGTCTGCACTCCAGTATCGCAAGATTTCGTGCACTGAAAATAAATTGAAAATATATATATTTGAATATTGCGTATATCTATGTAATTGATTTTTCATTCATACGCTTTGGATTCAATTAGTTGTAACACAAGTTAAACTCTGGTAACATAATGAGTTTCTTTTATTGCCAACGTCAATTTGAACACGTTTTTCTAGTATATTTCGTCGTGATTAATTTTACATTATCTATTTTCTCTTCATTTCTAATCACAAAAGTATTATTTTTGAATCTCACATTGATTCAGTAAGCATACAACAATGAACTTATACTTGTAATCTGATAATTGCCCGTCTTTTTTTTTTTTTACTTTGTCTTGTCCTTAGACATAGGCTAAGTGCACACGTTATGAATACCTACAATTGTCAGGTTTTTACTTTATTCATTAAACAACTATGATATCAGGCTTTGATGAGACATCAGACATTAACTTCTCTAAAGTGAAAGTTGGGTGAAATAGTATATTATACTTTACTAGATTCGTCAAATGTTTGCATAATTGGAAGCTTTAAGTAGACATTTCACCTCACTGGCAGACGACACGTATCTATAGAGTCACATAAATTGTTAAGCCTTACCAAATACCCTTTTAGATTATAAACCTTCCCACTACTAATATGCCTTTAAATGCTCTAATTGCTAAACGATTTTATCAGTTTAATGAAGGAACCTCGATATGAAAATATGTGCACCAAAAATACTCAAGGATTTTGGTCTGCAGCAAGAATCCTAAACTTTGTTATATATCTTCCAGTGTTTGTGATACGTTTAATTTTCGTTCATGATAACCTATCTACTGATTTAAATATCGTTGGGATTATGCTCTAACTAACTACTGATTTCACATATCGTTCGGATTATGATCTAACTAACTACTTATTTCACATATCGTTGGGATTATGATCTACCTAACTAGTGATTTCACATCTTGTTGGGATTATGATCTAACTAACTAGTGATTTCACATATCGTTTGGATTATGATCTAACTAAGTACTGATTTCACATGTCGTTCGGATTATGATCTAACTAACTACTGATTTCACATATCGTTCGGATTATGATCTAACTAACTACTGATTTCACATATCGTTGGGACTATGATCTAACTAAATACTGATTTCACATATCGTTCGGATTATGATCTAACTAACTACTTATTTCACATATCGTTGGGATTATGAGATAACTAACTACTTATTTCACATATCGTTGGGATTATGATCTAACTAACTACTTATTTCACATATCGTTGGAATTATGATCTAACTATCTACTGATTTCACATATCGTTGGGACAATGATCTAACTAACAAGTGATTTCACATATCGTTGGGATTATTATCTAAATAACTAGTGATTTCACATATCGTTGGGATTATGATCTAACTAGCTATTGATTTCTGTTATTCAATAAACTTATAGGTAGTTTGTTTTCTCTTGCAATGTGAGTGATTTCTTTACTTATCTGTTTATAAGATGGAAATGTAATGCTATATCAGCACTTTGATATTATATACTTAATGAAAAGCCTTTTTTTAATGAATGCATTGTATCTTCGAAACAACATTTTAAGTTTACAAAAAAAAATGTAAAAATTAGTTGGTCGCTTCAAAATCATTCCTTTAAAATTCACGATGTTAATTATTAGTAGAAAAGGTTGTTGTATATCTATAAACATTTTTCGTCTTTAAAAATCAATTCTAATTAAATTTAGTCAAGGTAAATTGGTAACTAAAGGTTGGCTTGAGTTAACGTGTATTACCGAATGCATCAAATATCATAGTCAAGGTAAATTGGTGACTAAAGGGTTGGCTTGAGTTAACGTGTATTACCGAATGCATCAAATATCATAGTCAAGGTAAATTGGTGACTAAAGGGTTGGCTTGAGTTAACGTGTATTTCCGAATGCATCAAATATCATAGTCAAGGTAAATTGGTGACTAAAGGGTTGGCTTGAGTTAACGTGTATTACCGAATGCATCAAATATCATATTAACTGATTTACATTTCTTACGAACAAATGACTATTACTATCTATATTTAGAGATTTAATATTTTGCAATCATTGGATAAATTGGATAAATATTTACCTCGGACCATTCTGTGACGTACCACTGTGGTCGGCACTCGGTAAGGTTACACGGTTGTTTATCTAACGGCTTTTCTACTGCTTGGCACTGGAGGTCCAGAACTGCTCGCCACTGACCCCGTGTGAAGTTCAAACAAACAACATCACGGGTCTGGGTCCCATTCCCACAAGCAGAGGTGCACTACGAAATAATAATAATAACAGAAACAAAAAAAACTAACGGACTTGTGAATCAAGGTTGTTCGCCTGAATCCGCTTAAGTTTAGCCACGTATTCATTAAATATTTTCTGAAAAGTAGAAACAAATTGAGTTAAATTATGCGTAGTTTCGACCGGTAGCCTATTAATGTCTTCTAGTAGACTTAATATTACTATTATAAATCATTTTAATAATTTTTTGTTATTATTTACTGAACCTGCTTCAGGTTGCGATTGATATTTGTACAGAAGGAGTATATATAAGAAATTTATATATCTAAATTCTACTGAAACTTGTTATATTGATAATCACGTCGTCTTAATAAAAACACGCCACTCCTAGTTAAACACGCATATATCCATTTCATATTCAAAATGTCACCTTTACTAGTTCCAGTTTTACATTTCATTGAATTATATCAGTTCTTTAAAACTTAGATTTTACAGACTAATTGAAGCCACACGTTACATCAGTCCTATCCAGAATACCTTAGGCTGTAAATCAATATGAAAAAAGCTATTATTTGCATAAACTATTGTTCCAAACCGTTTAAAAATCCAGGTGAAGAGTTAACAACTGTTCAGAATTTTCACTTATAATGTCCCAGAACACTTCAGTCCAGTTTTTACACTATCTTTAGCTTTCCGAAAACATATTTTTAAACATGCTTAACTTGTGAAGGTGTATGAAAAACAAAACAATTTCCATGTTGACATTACCATAGTTACAGAAATCCTGTTTCGTGGTAAAAACGCTAAAGACAGCTGTCTCCGAGGCCACGTGCTTGTCAGGAGGATTATTTGATGCTTTTTTTCTTAGCGGCAAATGCCACCACTTTAAGCAATACAAAGTTAATCAGTTATTTTAAGCAATACAAAGTTAATTAGTTTAAAGATAAATAGCTTACTCTCTCATAATTTAACATATTTTCCTTTACTTCTAGAATGTCGACATCGTGTAGTAAAGCATGTTAAAGCTATTACTTATAACCATACGACAAATTGCCCTCGTCACCTACTCAGTATATAAATATGTTATGCCTGTTTCATAAACATACTTCAGACCAGGATCCAGTGAACCATCGCCCTCCACAATCAGTCTCTCTAGCGCAGTGTTGTTCCATTTCAGGACGGTTGTTCAAATCACAACCATTTCCATTTTGCTCCTCTCCTCCTCCGAGACAGATAACTTTTCTGCGCTGAACATCTGAACCACAGTTGACTGAACACTACATAAATTACAGGTTTAGCTTTAAGGCACATAATCTCTAAAATCTGTACTGTGCAGACGTTTTATCGAAACATTTTTGATGACAGGAAGTCAAATTATATATATATATATATATACTGTTAATATTTTACTGACAAAAGTACAGGAAAAATTCCACATAAATGATCATAAAAGACATTGCATAATGATAATCTTCATCAACCGTTGTTAATGTCATATCGTTTTAAGTTGTCATTTTAAGATAGATTTACTCTACGGTAATGTAAATGACGTTATTCAGTTTTGCCCTGTTAATTGTAACTCACAAAAGTAGACAGGTGTTACTAATCTAACAATCTTAACTGAACACCTGAACTTGTCTCGGCACACCATAAATACAATATTCATAATCTTTCATACCATCTGCTCAGTTTTAAATTGTTGTAAAGAGTTTTGTTTTTTGTTCATAATAAACAATGTATGTGTTCAAATTCGTTTTATTTAAAAAATAATAATTCTTCATGCATTTATATATATATATATATAAAGCTAAATACGTGCCGTACCTCGATCTCCGAGTTAAATTGAAACAAGCGGATGAGACTATATAATAAATATGTTAACATAATATAAATTTAGAAAGCAGTTTATCTCCATAACCTATAACTTTAATGTAAGTATTTTCACGTCAAGCAAGAGTTAAAAAATACACCATTTAATCATTAATAAGATATTTTTATGAACTTACCGTATCTGACCACGAAGAAAAATACCAGCCTTTCGAACAGAAACTTCCGTGGCACACTTCTTCCTGCGCAGGTTTACTAGAAAAACACTGAACGCTGTCTACTTTACTTCCACTATCAGAAAGACATTGCACCTGCCTTTTCCGTATCCCATTACCACATTCAGCAGAGCACTGATGATACATGTCACAAGATATTTTTGAGTTAATAAAAAAGTGACGAGCAGCATGCATTTGTCAGAATTACCAAACAGTTCATTTTAACCCATTAAGTTTTAGTATTGTTCAATGAAGATACTGCTTACTAATCCTAGCACATTATTATGTTCTTATCTATATTATAGTTGTCTCGTGGTAGTTAAGCTCACATAACTCTACTATTTTACTTTGTTAAAGCTATGGTATTTTAATGATTATTCAATAACAAAAACCGATTTTAAATGCAAGTATAGGACGATCTGTAAGATATTAAAGCACAGACACAAAGAGGGCGAAATAATGATGAACATGGACACTAATATCGTGATGTATTTTAGAACTTACACAAAATGCATCATAAACATAGGGCAGAATATAATGACAGGGGAGCATTAATTTTTGTATTGCTATCAAGGGCAAAGTTATAACTAACCTTATGGGAATCACCTTGAATATGGCTTAGTTTAGAAGCTGGCTAACAGTTTTGCTATACATGTTTGTAGGTGTGAACTTTTATAATCGTTAACTACAACATATACTTCGTAAATATTTGATAATTGTCTATTACTTTTATGTATTTCGGTTGAAAATCTAAGAATTTGTTTCGTTAAGATATTTCTCTTTTTTTTTATAAAGGTGTTAGTAAATGACTATGGTTACAATAAAACACAATATAGATTTTACTTATAGTCGTTTCTGCAGTTGCCACAAGTATATGGCTGAGACGTCATTATTCTCCAAAATATTCTAAAGAAAGGCTTGTACAATGTTCAATTTAACTTATACGTGAAGTAACATTTGTTTGATATATATTGATAATAAACCCATCATTGCCCTTCCTTTGATGTTTATTCTATTTAAACATTTATTGTAACCAAAAACACCAAAACTTACTTTACTCCACTCTCCAGCCTCCCATTTCGCACAGGGCCTAAGTTGACAGGGCTGTTCACTAGCAGGCTTTTTTTGCTCTAGACAAGCGGTATCCGCTACAACAATTTGTAATCTCTGAGAAATATTCTGTTTGCATCTCACAACTCGAGTCTGTGTTCCTTGTCCACAAGTGGTGGTGCAAGGACTCCAATTTTCGAACACCCATCTGTATATGTAAATGTTAAAGTTTTCTTTCGGATAAAATTCCAAATTTAAGAATAAGCAGATTTAAAACAGCGATCAACTATAACTACAGTTCACTCAAAACCATCGTATTGCAAAAATCGTTACAGCTAAAATACGTTATATATCAACCAGTAGAGAGACACATAATCATAACAGTTTTTAGATGTGGGTGTTTTTAAACTAACTGGTTTCCATCAGTAGAAAATCAACTGGCAGCAACGTTATTGTCGAGGTAATCGCTACGTAAATATACGTATTTATATTTTGTATTAGGATTTATAAATATATCAAGAGAAATGTTTAAGTTTCACAAAATCTAAGCTTACAGACACGTTTGTGTTTAGGACTTACAGGGGTACCAACTTTTGATAAGAAAACATAAATTAACGTTTAGCAACTACATTGGCTCAATAAAAGGCACTACTGTAAGTAGCGAAATCAAATTCTTTACCGTCAGTAAAATTCATATTGTAAGCAACATTAGCCATTGTTAAACTGTTGAGACGGACTGCTCGGATGTTTGTATAGGGTGAGCTAATAATAACTTATGTAAAAGGCTTCTTTGCTTCTATCTTTTTTAAATTATCATCAGTATCAATAACATCTGAGCTTTTTGTTTCTAAATTAAGGCCACATTATTCAGTTTATTAGAATTTCTCTATTCTTAGAAGGAAACTTCTGTAATAAAATATGACTGTTTTCTCTTTCATGATATAATTGTTAGTGCCATAACTTCCTTTTGGAATAAATGATAATCGCTTGTCAAGAATAATTTATAGTAAATATACATATAAGTATTTGTTTTATAAGGAGAGACGTTATACATATGTATAGATGTATATGAAGTTATTGTAAACTATAGTTATTGTACAAGTCCACAGTTTAGTTGATATGATCTTTGATTTACTTGTTTCATACATTATTGTTTATTCTAGGCATCTCTCTTATAATTGAAGCATCAATTGTAGGAGCACTAGATATAGATATATATATTTTGTTATGCATTATACAAACAGATTAATTATAGATAATTACGTTTCTTTCGTACGTGCCATGAACGAATTGGTTTTTTCCTTATCATAGGTATCTAGCTGTGTGTAGTAATCTATCATGAACTACATGTTCATGTACTCTAAGGACATCAAAGACGTTTTGTATGAACAATTACATCAGGACGGTTTCTTTTCTGGAGGCGTCAAAGGCGTATATGATTAATTAATCCCTGATAGAGGTTATGCTGAAGTACTTCGATGGATAATGGTTAAAAAAAACATAATAGCAAGAACGTATGGTTGTTCAACCGGACACTGTATTTTCAGGGTTGGGTTGGGTGCAACTCACGACAGAGAGCCGATTTTGGAGCTATTTCATTGTATTTTGCTAATACCATATAATCTATAAATCTCCGTGTAAGCCTAAAATACGGCAATCGTAATCAATTAACAAGGTATTATGTATTAAAAAAACTGTTCCAGCATTAACATACATTACAAAGTTAGCATTCGTTAAGGAACTCGATAGGAAACTGGTCTGTGGGCGTCTTTTACCACCGAGTCGCTTTTATTATTCATGAAGTGTAGGGAGATAAGATAATAAACACCTACGTTTGAAAAAACAACAAACGAAAAAAAACATTCTTCATGCTTATCAAAAGACAACAAACGAAAAAAAAACAATTCTTCATGCTTATCACTTTCTTAGGATTAATTTTTATCTAGAAAATGATTTAAAATAAATACGAATTTTGTGTTTGTTTGTTTTTTTCGCAAACACGAGTATCTTAATTTTCCAAACATATTTCTATCATACTATTTCTTCCTGTGGTTTTAGAATAACATTTTCTTGGTTTTAACTTCATTTTTCATTAAAGAATGAGAACAGACAAGCAACTCAGTTACAAATATCAAAGTTACATAATTAACCCCAAAAGTTTGCATCTGCTAAAGCATTTCATTTCGTATGTATAACAGGAGTATTGCTTCGGATACTCAAGAAAAGGACTCATGGTATAATATACTTAGCGAATTTTTTATTATACTTGTCAGTCAAGGTAAACCAATATGTTTACAAGAATCACATCATGATCATGAAAACTAGTTATCAGCAGCACAAAAGTATATATTTTATCATTCCAAATATTTGTTTGTGATTATCATTTTTTTACCCTAATTGTATCGGTTAACCATAATGATCCAAAACTATTAGATTTGTTTTAACGTTGTATATACCACAACGAGGTATATACCACTTTCCTTTCTAGCTAATAAAAGCATACGTTCTGACGAAATTTACAAAAGAAAGTTGATGTTTTTTTTTTATTTTGTTCTTTACCATTTTAATCCCAACTGGTTTGGGGTCGCCCAGTATTTTTACAGCTGAGTGGCTGGCCTACTTGGCAACCATATAGGACTAGCATGTTCGGTGACGAAGATTATTCGAATTCGCGACTTTCAAGCTGTGAGTAGAGCGCCCTACCCACCAGGCCATGCCCGGCCCGGCCCCCCCAAAAAATGTAATACTTTTAAAAATATACACAAAGCAGAATATGAAAATGATACAAAATGATCGAAGAAATAAATATTTCAATTCCCCAATCTTGAATTTTGACTTAGAAGTTGATATTATTTTATTCTTACATCGTTTTGATCCTATTAATACTTTATATTTCACCAGATTTACTTGTAATTTGCAAAAATTATCGAGTGAGATTTCGGTTATATTCATATTTACCATATGAGTGTAAACTTTACCTTGCTGGACAAGGGTGAGTATTACAACGAACAGTCTGGACTGCAGGCTTTGATCTAGGATCACAATAATTGTCACCAACCACCGTCACGGAGCTCAGTTTAACACAGTCTGCCATTGTCTTCTTTGTTCCTGAAAAAGGAAGTTAAACACTACTTAAAAAGGGGAGTGGGAGTGGAACACTGACTGCCGTAAAACAGGTGATTCTTTGAATAGATAAATGATGTAGGAAAGGCCCAATTGGTTACGTGATATCTTAATAACCAAAACAATAAATACGTGAAGGTCCTATGTTCGAGCCGTTCTATTTGTCCATTGTTTTCAGGTGTGGGCGCATTATCAAAGTTTAGGTCCAACCCTTTATTTGATTGAAAGAGCTGTAAAAAGCTATTGTGTTGGCAGACGCTGTTCACTGACTGCCTTCCCTCTGGTCAGTAGTTTAAAATTTGGGTTCGCTATACTTGATTCCTAGGGGTTTATGACCTAGCTGTTTAGTCCATGTGTCCCATAAAGCATGGTTCTCCATCTTTTCTTAGCACGAGGCCCCCCCAGAAGATTTCCCATCTTGGCTGCTCCCACCCGATAAATATATAGTTACTGAGTACCATAACTATACTGTGTATTTTGTGTATCCGACACTTTCCTACAGCCCCTAGTTTGGGAATCTCTAGCATAAGGTATCGTTCATATTTCAAATACCAAATTTCACAATTGTCTCGGGTCTACCGATTAATTTTTGTTTGTGACTAAAAATAACTTAGTTGTTTTCTTAGCACAAAGTTACGCAATGTGCTATCAGCACTCTGTCTAGGTGGGTAATCGAGCCCAGAAATTTAGTGTTATAAGTCCATAAACATATCGCTGATCCGTCGGGCTGTTCTAAATATAACTGATCAGATTTGAAGTAAAACATAATTGTTCACCAAATGCGTAAAACGGCCTAAACAAACTTGCTGAAATTAATTATTATACTTTTTTTTCACACCATTAGCAAAAATATGTTCCTCCTTATAGTGAAGAACATTTTTTAAAAGATGTGTTGTTAAAGTTAAGCACAAAGCTACACAATGGGCTATCTGTGCCGCTGTGCCACTGGGGGGTAAAGATTTGTGTAATAAACAACAGTCAGTGATTTCTATTTTAGTTTGATTTATAAAATAACACATGTCTTAGAATGTTTGTTACTTTTCGTTTTAGTAATGTACAGGTATTTTTGAGTTTAATGAATCATAAATACAGCTGTAAAAAAACAATATAGATTCAAATTCGATGACGAGAACCCACTTTGAGACTAATATTGCTTGGAGATGGCTTGAATGGGTAATGAAGAAAAACTTTAATATAAGTTTAACATAACACGAAATGTAGATTGTACGTTGTACATTTGCTGTTATGTTAAATTTATATTAACGTTTTTCTTCATTACCCATTCAAGCCGTCTCCAAGCATTATAGATTCAAGTATTGTGTTTATTCGTTGTTAAGCGCAACGCTGCACAATAGGCTAGCTGCGGTGTCCAGCTGCAGGGATCTAAACTTGAATTTCATCGTTTTAAGCCCTCACGAGAAATGTAATATTGTATAAACGTTTCCCTTTACCTGTGGACCGAGTGTGGTCTAGCGTTTAATGTGAAGAACTGTGAATCCGCGTCCTGTTGCCGCAAAATCCCGCTGTGCACTCTGGGTCGCGTTATAAGAGATCTAATTGCACTATTCAGTTAACTTAACCCAAGAATTGGCTACGAGTGCTAATAACTAGCTACCTTCCCTCTTGTCTACTGGTTCAAAATTAGGCAAGGTTAATAATTATTCCCAATTGAAAGAAGAATAATTAACAGTGATGCTTCATGTACAAATTGCTTTATGAAGCTAACCGACAAACACAAGTTTGATGAGACTACTTGAAACATCACTGCCTTACACCTGATTTTAAAACGTTTTTCAACTATAAATTCATGACTCAAAATTTAAAATCTAAAATTAATAAGTTGCAGTAATCTCATTGCAAATTACAAAATACGTGGTCAAAGCTAAAGAAATGATAGCAGGGCAGAATCGCACCTGGCATATATTACATTCAATTAATGTGACTATTATATTAACAACGAGCTTAGAATATGAAAATTGGTAAATTTTATCTTCACAATTTTAGCATATTTTGTTTTGTTTTTTAATTTTCTTGCAAGGTTACACAAGAGCTATCTCCACAACCCGTCTTAATTTTGAACTTATAGACGAGAAGGAAGGCCACTGGTCAATATCGCCCACCGCCAACTCTTGGGATAATCTTCTCTGACCAAATAATGGGATTTAACCATTACTCTTATAGCGCATCCATAGTCCCAAAGTACGGAAATTGTTTTTGCTGTAATGGAATGAGAACAATGAATCCTGGCATTCATAGTTCAGGCTTGCTAATTCAATACCATGCCCATCCATTTAAGCTTTATAAATTATTTCAAAGCAAACCAGAAAGATAGTAGTGTACAAATATACAGATTTTGCTGTATAAACAAAGCTTTCTATTAAGTAAGTGAAAAAGAAAACTAGATTAAAAAATTAAAAATGACGTACCTCCTCCACAGCTAACTGTGCATTCGGTAAATCCTGCAAGTCTCCACGTGTAATCTCCCTGAAACCGAGTATTTCTCTGAACACCATTAATAACAGGGATGGAACTTCGAAGTCCAAGTCCAGTGTCTGTACTCTGAATGTCTTGACGCGTTTGACCCTTGACTCTTCGATTCCTTCGTCTTGTCCAGCGGTCCCTACGGTTATTTGATTTCTGTCTATGTCTGTGTCTCCTTCGTCCGTTGCGTTTTCTCTGAAGTTTCTTGCTTGGTATTGTATATTTGTAAGTAATTCCCTGGTTCGACTGTGCATATATTAACTAAACATTGGACAAAATAGCAAATGAAGCATTTATTTTAACTCAAGTGAGCATGAAACCCAAACCAAATTGAAATTTCCAATGAGTTTCGTAGTTTTATTATGTAACTGCATATGCGAAAAAGTACTTAAAAACCACAAAGTCATTTTATTATTAATTAAGCATCTTTCTAATAAAAAGGGTAAAAGTACACAGTTTTGTAAATCGTGTTTCTTAAAAGATATTAAGCAAGTTTCAATATTATATTATAAACTTTTCAATGATAACATTAAATTCACATAGTATCTGATGTCACCCAAGCGTACTAAATTTCCAGCTAATAATTACATATTTTCTTTATCAAGTACAAAAATAATAATAATAGTTTTTACTTTTGTTCTGATAAACCTTGAAATAGGGTACATCAGTTTTGTTCTTTTTTCTAGAAAGCTTAATACAGTTCATTCTGTATATTTTGTATGTTTATTATTAAACCCATCTTTAATGGAATACAAGAGATTCGAATTAGTGGCATGTAAGTCACATAAAACTGGATTACCATTATTTATGCATCATACATATACAGACCCTGCACGAAAACAAGTCGTGTTTTGAAATCTACTTAAGACAATACATTATACACACTTCTTACTAAAGTCTCGTAATGTGGGTTAATCACTTCACTGAATACTTAACAGGACTTTACATGAAGCTTTATTTAAACAAACGAGTTTATTACTTGTCAACTTTTGACCCTTTTTGCAGGCGTTTTCAAGGGGCCAATTATGCATTGAACTCTATAAAAGGTAGCAACACGGGCATACGTATGCCATCTATTCCTTGAAAGATTTAATTATTCCAAAGATAAGAAATGAAAATTTATAAAAAACAAACAAACATAAAATTAATCTTTATTTTGGTTTACAAGAACATTGAACTAACAAAAATGTTAAATAGTTTAATATGATATTATTTTATAACGTACGTTTAGAAATTGAATTTACTATTCCTTTTCTTCATTTTTTTTTGGGGGGGTGGGGCTGGGAGAACTTGGATATCATACAAGAAATAGTATCTGATGCATGATTTATTTTGATAATTACTACCATTAGTAATTTTGGATACCCAGATGAAATACGGATTGTTTGATTTGTAAGTCACAATGATGGTATTTTGTTTTCTCAGCAGTGACAAATGTCATATGTATTGATGTGTTACAGCTAAGATTTAAATGTTCGACATTGCTTTAATAGGTTAACGGCCAAAACCCCGATCCTGTTACACACACTATGCAGAGTAAGTTTGAAAGCCACTGTTGTTTCTTTCGTCAATAGTCAGTAATAAGAAAATGGCCATATTTGAAATTCTTCAAAATACTTCTGTTTTCACTATACAATATATATTGAAGATATGTCCTAGCACTTGTACACACGTGTTACCTTACCTAGTACATTTGGTATATAAATAGCGTTTTTAAAAGGCCAGTCGAAGGTTAATGGAAGACTTGCTTAGAAGTTTGTGTGCAAAATATTCAAAAGTGTCTAACATTAAAAACATCGGTACTACAAATATGGTAAGTTTGCAAAGTTAGATCTCTACGTGTGTTTTCAACATGAAGAAAGAGAACATTAAAGTTTCAATGGAATATTTAAGCATGATCCTGTCCATTTGGGTTAATTTTTCTCTTTTTAGGCTCAGGATCTCGCAGAGGAACGATGAGCAGAGTTCGATATGACAGTTTTTACTAAATCGATACAAAAAATACCTAGGTAATTGTGGTTACCAGGTACAGACGTGTATCGTGCAGAAAGATTAAAATATCGACTTGAAAAATACTTTGAAAAAATTGTTTCTCACAAAATGCTGCTGCAAATACATCACAGAATAAAGTCAACCCATTTCAGGTTACACAAAATACATCACAGAATAAAGTCAACCCATTTCAGGTTACACAGACGTTGCTAAGTATAATTTTTTTTTGTTTTGTTTGTAATTAAGCACAAAAATACACAAAGAGCTATCTGTGCTCTGCCCACCACGGGTATCGAAACCCGGATTCTGGCGTTGTAAGTCCGCAGACATACCGCTGTGCCACTGGGGGGCACTAGGTATAGAAAAAAAAGCATTGCTTTAATGTCTTGAAGAATGCCTGAACTCTGGCTCAACATTAATTAGCACATCTATGAAATTCAAAACGCTCCTTAAAATCCTCAGAAAGAATATAGGAGAGAAAGGAAAAAAATCAACCCACTGTAATCAGACTGTAAAATATTCGGAAGACTGGTAGTCATTTCAAAAGAAAGAAATATCGCTTTTGAGCATCTATTTGAATACGAACTTTCAAGCAGCCCACTGGAAATTGCAGAGGAGGACGGATCCTTGGCCAAAAGTAACAAATGTCAGATCATAAGGGATGTTGAGACTGAAGCAGCTTCCTCTTTGTACTCAGAAGAGTTCAGGACCACAATCAGGGATAAGAAACTGAAACAGCCATTTTCATTAACTACATTGCATGTGTTCAAAAGATGTCAACTATGGTTGGTATCAAGACATTTGGAAGAGGTATGGAAAAGTTTATTATTTGTTGAAGGAAATGCTGTTCATGTATTATCCGATAGGCCTAATACTGACGTATCCATCAAAGTTGGAAAGAGAAAATTTTGGGCATATATTTTTTATAGGGATATTGTTGTTTAGATGCAGTTTAAGACAGGCACTAAACAAAGCACTCACTTCATTCCAGTAAACACAGTTGTGGAGAAACTTGATTGAGAGTAATGTTCCCATTTGGTACCATTTCGTAATTTGATGGGATCTGACAGTACTGACTGCTTAAAAGGAAAGGGTCAGAAGAAGGCATTTAATGTGGTTCGAACCAACACAGGAAAGTTCTTTGCTTTAGCACAACTTGGAGAGTCTTTTAAGATGGTACAGAATTGCGAGGAATGTATTTGTGGACTATATTAGCCAAGCAATACCATTAACAACATTAATACATTGAGGTATAAAAGGATTTGTAAAATGTTAGTGCAAAATCAAAGTTTGTTTCTGTGCCACAAAGTCTACTGCTGCGTATTAAAAGTGGAAACTATTATAGTGGAGTTTGGAAAGAATCTATGTTAACACAGTAGACATGGATGGAAACGGTCGGAAGATGGCTTGAAACCGGAGCTCATGACACAAGAGTCAGGAAAAATAAGTAAAAAGAAGAAAGATATAGCTGAACTGACAACATGCCAATGTGCTTCTCGACGGTGCAAGTCTGTGAAGGTGGGGTTACATTGCACTCTTGCCTATTTATGTGAAGATCACGCAGATACATGTGAAAACATAAATGATTTAGTGACGATAATGATTTGGATGATGATTTATCGGACAGTATTCAAGATTCACGTTTCACCTTTATATGTATGTGCACTGTGTACGTGTAGCATAAAACTGATGTGATATATATTGTGACTTTTTTTAAAATAGCATCAACGTTACCAAAGGACTTAATATACTCGGAGCTATCCATACACCTATTACTATATTTTGATGAAGTATCATATCAAATGGTAGCAATACAATTGTTTGAAATACTTCGCTGTTATCTTTATACAGCTTGATTTGTTATGTTTTCAATACGTAGTACTCATTTATTTGATTCACACACACTTAAAGGCTATAAAAGTTTACAATAGTTAAATATTCATACCAGATGGTAGCAGTAGCCTTCTTTTTAGATTTATGTGGAAAAATAAATGTAAAAAATGTGATTATACATATAAGCATTTCTTTTTGTCCACAACAGATTCGAGGAAAGTTTTCTCATTTATTGTATACACAAAAATAGGATAATCTTACAAAAGTTTCAATATTTCAAATTTTACCACTCAACAAGCAAAGAACCATTCATTTCATCATTGTCTTTCATCTGGACCCATTAAACCCTCTCTACGTGAGATGTGTAACAGAAATTATTTTTACAGCAAATACAAAAAAGGCATTTAACCCACAAAGTTCACTGCATTATTAGCCGTGGAAAACTTTTGAAAAAAGATCAAATATTACTAAATAATAACCTTTTACAAAAGGAAAATAAGGTGTGATGCAAAAACAAATTGTGTTTATGCTCTGTTTTTGTAAAAGGATACAGAGACTCACAACACATGGCAGTTTCTTCACTTGCCCAAACAACGCTCGTTAATGAATTGCTAGACTTTAGGGTGGAAGTTTTAGTATCTATAACTTCTGTGATACTAAAAAGAAGTACTGATTTCAAAAATAGAAAGTTCTTATACAGTGAAAATTTACAAGAAGTAACTCTAGCTTCTGATTTTGTGTGGTTGTTAAGCACAAAACCACATAATGAACTCTCTGTCCTCTATTTACCACAAGCACACTATTTTTAACATCGTGATCCTGCAGATTTACCACTGAGCGACGGGAGGAGGTTTGTTTCTAGCGTTCTATGTAACATAATTATAAAGATCTTATTACGATATATTAGTATTCTATCGTAATATGGGGCATATGTGAAAAAACAACTTGCAAAACTGAAAACAGAGCAAGAGGCACTGGTTTTTAATATTATACATTTTCTACAGACACATCCAGAAATTTGATGGTGTGCTTTACATATAAATACAAAAAATACAAGTAACGTCCAATTTTTGGAGTTCGTAGTGCTGCCACCTACCTAACAGTGGCAACATTTATCAAAGTGCTAAAGTAACTAAATCAGTAACCCAACAGTGGCAACATTTATCAAAGTGTTATAATAACTAAATCACTAACCCAACAGTGGCAACATTTATCAAAGGGTTATAATAACTAAATCAGTAACCCAACAGTGGCAACATTTATCAAAGCGTTACAATAACTAAATCACTAACCTAACAGTGACAACATTTATCAAAGTGTTATAATAACTAAATCTGCAACCCAACAGTGGCAACATTTATCAAAGCGTTACAATAACTAAATCAGTAACCCAACAGTGGCAACATTTATCAAAGTGTTATAATAACTAAATCAGTAAATTACTAAATATGTAACTCGTTACAGTTTGTATACTTTAGCAATCAAGCTTGTATCACCAAGATAACTCCTGTAAAGTAGTATTTGCCCTGGAGAACTTTATAAAGAAATTATACATCCCATCCCATAGTAACCAGCTATGCATCCCACGATAAGCAGTTATACATCCCATACATCCCATGGTAACCAGTTAAATTTTTGGGCACGTGCTTTAAAGAATGTTGAGGCTGGAATAAACGAGTATAAAGGATTAATTCTAGTCGAAATTTTGTTATGCAGTTAGGTAGGAGAAATGTTGGTTGAAGCTGAGAGTGATCAGAAAGTGGTACCAGTTTCTAAGGAATATGTGGGTTATAGTACTCTATTTCATTAGAAAGTGTTGGATCTTTATAAATTCCGCAAGCATAGAAACTACATAACTCCTGTGATTGTGAAAAGTTATAATCCGATATATGGGAAACAGGTGCAAGATTAGAAAGAATGGGACTGGTTCGGTATGTACTTGAGAAAATAATATAAAAAACATGAGTTCAACGAGTAAGAAAATATCAGGAAATAGGAAACGGAACTAATAAACCGAGAGAAGCGAAGGAAGAAAGTAATACGCTGGCAATAAGAAACTAAATCTATTTCTAAGTCTATGTGTTATTGATTACCAGTAATAAACAGCAATTTGTTATTGACATCAAGCAATAAGAAACTAAATCTATTTCTAAGTCTATGTGTTATTGATTACCAGTAATAAACAGCAATTTTTTATGTTTACATCCAGCAATAAGAAACTAAATCTATTTCTAAGTCTATGTGTTATTGATTACCAGTAATAAACAGCAATTTATTATGTTTACATCAAGGAATAAGAAACTAAATCTATTTCTAAGTCTATGTGTTATTGATTACCAGTAATAAACAGCAATTTCTTATGTTTACATCAAGCAATAAGAAACTAAATCTATTTCTAAGTCTATATGTTATTGATTACCAGTAATAAACAGCAATTTATTATGTTTACATTAATATCTGTCAAGTCCTGATAGAAATAAGTAGAAACTAAACAAATTTGAAAGACACAAGAAGGGAAAGCGAAGTGCGAGTACAGATCAGTCGTAATAAATTAACACGTGAACTAAACTGTAAAAGTGTCAATAGATTAACACGTAAACTAAACTGTAAAAGTGTCAATAGATTAACACGTAAACTAAACTGTAAAAGTGTCAACAGATTAACACGTAAACTAAACTGTAAAAGTGTCAACAGATTAACACGTAAACTAAACTGTAAAAGTGTCAACAGATTAACACGTAAACTAAACTGTAAAAGTGTCAACAGATTAACACGTAAACTAAACTGTAAAAGTGTCAACAGCTGCTTTATTCACAAGATGCGAAATGTTAGAGAAATTTAGTGAAAAGAATTTCTCAACTTTATGTTCAATCGCAAAGGTCTACCAATATTCAAATATTTCGTGATGTCTACAAAAGCGTCCCGGTAGTACAAAATGAAAGAAAGATTAACATTAAAATCAAATTAAAAGTTACAGTTATATTCTTCTTTCTTTCTAAAAGTAAAACATCTATAAACTTTTCGAACCAAAATTTTCTCGTGAAATGCATATATGGGAATGGTAAGAATTCTGATTAATGTATTAGTAAACAGATATACTAGAGCGAATAATGTTCCAGACAAAGTACGGTTATCATATCTGGCTTCTTGTAACCACATAGTCAATATTCGTGGTTCAGAACTACGTTTTAAATGGACGACACTGGCACGCTGTGAGCAATATAGATAACAAAATATGGATTTTCGGGGCGCAAATAACACATGTCGTTCACCACAAAACTCGTTAAAACAAGTAAATGTGATTTTGGTGTTACAAAGGTGAAGTCGTTAAAAGATATGTGGTCAACGACGTTTACTAAGTTACCAGAGGACTACAATTAATGGTAGATATAACCTTCACGTCTCTTCGGTAGATGCACTTTTCTTATCAATGAGAGAGATAGTATTCGCAAACACACATCAGAAAGAGCTAAAACTAGCTGAGAATGCATGGCCACAGCAAGTTTCGAAAATGCTGATATGGTGGAAACCAACGGTGACAACTTCAGAGTTTCCATTCATGACTTAATTCAGGTAGTAACACAAATATTTAAATAACTGCATTTATGGCTAAGATCCTTAATTTGAATCCCAGAATATATTACAGCCACGAAATCTAAGCCATTTTAAAACCACATACGAAAGTGATAAACAAACATGCCTGAGTCAGTTGGGTTTTTTACGAAAGATGATTGTTGTTATGATACATTCAATTAAGTTAGTTTAATCGATGTGACGCTTAAAATCAAAATCATCAAGAGTTCGAAGTTGAAAGCTTTTATGACATTTACTTATAAGCAAATTGCTGTTTTTATCGTATTTTATCTGAGTTAATTTTGAAACAGCTCTTTTTCTCTTCTGACATTGCTTCAATCCAAGCAGTATTTCTGAGACCCCGAACTTCGATTTCACTAAGCCTACGAAGTTTGATTTTTTTTTTCTAAAAGTAATATATTACAGCCTCACTATAGTAACCTAAACGGGAAGAGTATGATTTTTTGTCTCAGTACTTTATCTTTATCTCATTTAGATAACCTAAGCCTAAAGAGTCTAATTTTTATCTTAGCAATATCTTGTGGCCTCACTTAGATATCCAAAACCTATAAAGCGTCATTTTGTCTAAGTACTGTACGAGACTCCTGCTATACATAAAAACAAACATTTTCAACTGAAATATTCTAGGTATAATAGGCCATAGTTATTATAGAATATTATACACCAAACACTTGTATGATGTCATAATTTAAGTAAGAAAAAATTAAAGTTAAGATTTTTTTTAAAACGAACAAAACATGCCATTGTTCAGTGTTCGAGCACTGCTTTAATTTGGATAATAATTTTCAATGGTCAAACTTTAATTCAAAAAACCTATGTAAATAATATCTAAACTTTTTACACAGTTTCTTTACTGCAACTTACCATTTAGCATTAGTTATCATTACCGCCTCTTAGTTAAAGAGATGTCCCTATCTTCGTGCCATGAATTATCAAAGAAAGAAATTCAAAATATTTACGTAAGTCAGATGATAAAGTCAAATTTGTGGTAACTTATTCAGTATTTGTAACATGGGTTGTTATTAAGTATACAAAACGTTAGTGCTAGTATGGATATGGAAACATTAAAAACGTCACAGTTTCAAAGTTTATTAAGAGTATTAAGTTAGAAGTGAAACACACAGATTTCATTACACTAAATGTACAAAACTCACTAATACGTCTAATGGTTTTGTGGTACGACCCTCAGCACTAATCAGTTTATCTAATTATTTCATTACGCTAAATGCACAGAACTCACCAATGCGTCTAATGGTTCTGTGGTACGACCCTCAGCACTAATCAGTTCATCTAATTACTTCATTACACTAAATGTACAGAACTCACCAATACGTCTAATGGTTCTGTGGTACGACCCTCAGCACTAATCAGTTCATCTAATTATTTCATTACGCTAAATGCACAGAACTCACCAATGCGTCTAATGGTTCTGTGGTACGACCCTCAGCACTAATCAGTTCATCTAATTACTTCATTACACAAAATTCACAGAACTTACCAATACGTCCACTGGTTCTGTGGTAGGACCCTCAGCACTAATCAGTTCACCTGTCTGAGTTTTTGTGCTATGTCGCTTGTACACAAATGTAGTGCCAGCACCCTGGTAGTTGCCCGTTGGGTGGATAGCCCAGTTTCCGTTGATGACATATTGTCCAGTCCTTGTCCTGAGGGCTTAAACGACACAAATTTACTGATAATTGTGTTATGATTAAATACACTGCATAACAATCCAGCCAAACATATCGTGTCGTTAGTGTTTTGGTTTATCAAATATGTGTTTTATCGATATATTTCACTTCAAGAACGTTTATTATTTGATCTCATTCTTACTTAGTATTTATTTGTTATTTCTTTGTAACAAGCATAGTTTACACTTTTAATCTTGTTTTTCAAAGGTCTCTTGTTTACGAAAATTGTTTAATCTATTAATCCTTTCATTACAAATAGATTTTCTTAGAAACACAATTTTTTCATGACTTACAGTAAAACAAGCTTAGAACCAACTGATTGTAAAAACTGTGCCTCTATTATAAGCATTTCTATCATTTTATGACATTTTACCTGATACCGTGAAATAGTTTGGTGTGATTCTGATAAGGGGCTATCAGGTTGGGGCTTTGCATGACGTGCCCAATAAGCAAATTAAAAGATGCTATATCAAACTTTCACAGACAAATCTAAAAGAGTAACGAGCAGCTGATATCGTCTAGAAGTTACTGGTTCATTTTAAATTGGCGTGATGCTTAAGACAGTTGAGATGGGGCATATCAATTCATCAGAATGATACTTGTTAGATCTCACGCGTGATTTACATAGTAATAAACGAAATATGGGACAACACCGATAATTTCGCAGTTAAGATTAGCAAGTTTTTGGCACAGACAGCGTAAAAATCGTTTTACAGCCCTATTAAAAGTAATCGTGACTGCAGTGGAATGAGGCTTTGCAGTCGGGATGACTGCAAATGTCTTCAATATTCAACGCGTTGGAATCTTATCGTCACCCAGCACACCTGATTGAAGCTTTCTAAATTATAAGGAGAACCATTATAAATTAACAATAGTTCAAAGGGCAGACATTTGTTGTTTCTGTGTCACGATTGTAAATTTGTTTGGCCGCTCTTGCTGGTCCTGCTCATAAAATCTGAACATAAGCAACTTTGATTGTTTTGTTTCGTATTACTAAAACTATATCTCTATGTGAAAAAAGAAACTTTTTTTTTGTCAAAAAGTGTTAAGTAAAAAATTTCCTAAGATGATAAAACGTGAACAAAACTTTGTAAAATATGGTTGAACAAAAAAATCAAAGTCAGAAGAAAAAATTGCATTTATTGCAAATTTAAAATTTTACTCAAAATATTGTCACTCTAACTAATTCAACTGTCCAAAAATATGAACTTACGTTTTGAGTAAATGTTGGATTCCTTATGCATTCAAGTTTGAATATTAATGATCGTTTAAGATAATTTCTGTAGTTCTACACACTGTACAGTAATGTGATATATTTCAAGTTCTGTGTAAAATAAGTTTGTAGAATTATAAATCTCCTTGGTAAAAATATTAAGTAAAATAGTTACTGCTTTAATATTTATTGCATTCTATGCAAATATAAAATTGCATAACTGAAATACAAGGTTCATGTAGCATAGTTCGCTTAAGTTAAATAAAAACGTGGAACAGAAGAGTCAGCAGCACAGAAAGTGGGACAATATGGAAAATAATCAGTTTTTATAAATATATATATATATATATCCTAATGAGAAGATAAGACATATGTTTGAATATTGCTGAAACTTTGAAATTTACTGCATGAGGAGGAGACGCAATATTATTAACGAAGTGATCAACTGTCTGGTTCGAGGAAACAGTGAGATAATATAAGCTGGGAAATAAGAAAATTCTAATTTATCAACATAACTGGAGCTTAAAAACACTGTTATCATCGTGCTTAATTGTGGTTAAAAAATCACTTTATATTTGGCAGCGTTACTTGTCTATTTTTATTTAAAAAAAGGTTACGAGTTTGATGTAGAGTAAGTGCAAACTTGTCAAAGAATTGAAATGTTTTACAGTAACAGTTCCAAGTATAATATTTAAAGACACTGGGTACAGGTTTCTTCTAGATTGTTTTGTTTGTTTTCAAATATTCACATAAAGCTACTACTCAAAATATATCTACGCTAGCCGCCCCTAAGTTTAAGCAGACAGACTAGAGGAAAGGCCGCTAGTCAATATCACTCACCGCCAACTTTTACAATACTCTTGTCTGACTGAATAGTAGGAGTTGACCGTCACTCTTAAAATGCACTCACTGCACCAAAGTGTACAGAGCCATTTTTATTTTTGCGATAACAAGACGTAAACACTAGATCCTCAGATCTATAGTCCAACAAGCTCCGCCACTATAGAACTAGGTAGAATTCAAAGTATGCTAAAGCAATAAATAAAAAATGAATGCAACGGGATAATTAGAATAGCAAAAAATGACACATAACAGAAACTTAAAACCTGAAATATAGTATAATTCAGGAAATGAATTCGTGTACTTAATTTCGAATTTAAAATAGCAAATAGATATTAGTTACAAGATTATTATCATTGAATACTTATTATTCAAGATGGCGTTCTAAGATGCTTCTTTTACTTCGTGTTCACAGCATTATATATAAAGCCATTGAAAGTCATGATGAAATATAGCAAATTTATGTGCTTATCAAAGACTGATAGTTGTTAAATTAGTGCTTTATGGTTTTAGAAGACCCAAAAAGAAGTGTATGTGAAAGTGATAGGGTTAGCAGTGGTACAAAAATAAGCTCCAGGTTTCTGTTGTATACAATTTTTCCTTTTGAAATGCCATTCTTATACTTCATATCCACATTTAGTGGACACTTCTTAATGTCAGTGAGTTATATCATTGTCAACTTTAATGTGGTGCTGGAAAAACGTACAATTACTAGTTCGTTTTTCGTAAAAGAGACAGCAGAAGTAAGTGAAAAAACAACGTTCTTAACAAGTGTCGTATATATATATATATAAAAGTATTTGTTAATATTAACAATTTTCGTAAATTATATGTTACATATACCGAGAAAGAAAAGGCATTTTACAGTAAGATTGTATTTGAGCATTCCTGGGGACGTTATGAAGTCCACATGCTAATTTCTGGTATAGATATGAACTCTTGGAAATACTTAACGAGGCATGTGAGGGAAAATGACATAAGACAGTAATACTACAAGAACACCACCTCTTTGTCGTGTGAAAACGAACAAAACTAATATACAATCACGTGCTGATAGATTATATTGTGTTTGGTTGTTATTCAATCAATCAAACAGTAAAACATCACTATAAAAAATCTACAACAGTACAGACAGATATACTACGCTAGGAAGTAGTGCTAGTATAACTCCAGCTATGCCTCTCGCTACTGAAGTACCACATAAAAGGTTTTCGGATATACTACGCTAGATAGTAGTGCTAGTATAACTCCAGCTATGCCTCTCGCTACTGAAGTACCACATAAAACGTTTTCAGATGTACTACGCTAGATAGTAGTGCTAGTATAACTCCAGCTATGCCTCTCGCTACTGAAGTACCACATAAAAGGTTTTCGGATATACTTCGCCAGATAGTAGTGCTAGTATGACTCCAGCTATGCCTCTCGCTACTGAAGTACCACATAAAAGGTTTTCGGATATACTACGCTAGATAGTAGTGCTAGTATGACTCCAGCTATGCCTCTCGCTACTGAAGTACCACATAAAAGGTTTTCGGATATACTACGCTAGATAGTAGTGCTAGTATGACTCCAGCTATGCCTCTCGCTACTGAAATACCACATAAACGGTTTTCGTTGGTCATAGATTTTCCAAGTTAAAAAGTGCGACAAGACTCCATGTTTTAGTAGGAGCTGTATGCAAAACTTTCAAGAGATTTCGTTAAACTGACACTATTAATAATAGAAGAGGCGCCGAAAAAAAAAGGGATGTTAAATATATCGGGACATATCTTTACAACAATCGAGTATAAACCTTGCTGTAAATACAGGTTCAATGTTACATCGAGAACATTAATATACGCAGTAGCACGAAGTAATCTCAACGAATGTGTAGCTGCCAAGAAGAGGTAACCAAATCAAAAGGTTCAAATGGGAATCGAAACACAAGTAGCGGATTGATCAAAGCTAGAGATGTGTGTTCTTTACAGATAAAGCCAAGCTATACTTTTTCGGCAACATTTAATCAATCTTCAACAGCGAAAAGGAACACTGTATAATAATCAATGTACATCATCTACAGTGAAAAATGGAGAATCAGTACAAGTTTAGGTTAGTATCTCAGACTTTGGTGTTGGTGATCTACAGAAAATTGATGGTACTCTGACTTCTGGTATTTCTTCAGGTACACTCCTCATCGAGCAGGGCTTCGTCTCCTAGCAAGACAATAATCGCAATTACACAGAAAATATTTTAAAACGATATATTTACATTAAAGAGCCCGATGAAACACTGACACACATGTTCTGAAACATGAACATTCCAGAAACTATACGAACTTAGATAAGAACTGAGAATAATAAAAGCCGACCAAACAGCTTGGCTGAATTATAAAAGGTAATATAAGGAATTTGGAACAATATAATACAAGCGTACATCAATAAACAGCATGAAGAAAATGTGTAATGTTCTATGTAAGCCAAGGGGCTCTACAAAAACATAAGGGCATTGTGTACCCGTACATTAATAAACGGCATGAAGAACATGTGTAATGTTTTATGTCAGCCAAGGGGCTCTACAGAAACATAAGGGCATTGTGTACCCGTACATCAATAAACGGCATGACGAAAATGTGTAATGTTCTATGTCAGCCAAGGGGCTCTACAGAAACATAAGGGCATTGTGCACCTTACTCACTCTCTTTTGCATTTTCTATGATAATGTTTTGTATCATTAATATATTCACCATTACTCAGTTTTTAGTCTTCTATGTGTGTGTCGCTTGTGTCTTTCCATAATAATTTTCATTATAGTTTGTGTAAAATAACTATTTCTTTTAAGTGACGTGGAAATGATGTGGAAATACATATATATACGTCATTGATGGCACCCTGACTGTTGACAGGCACAAAAAAAAATATTTTCGATCATGTAATTCCTTCAGAACAACACCGTTTAGGTAAGGATCCATCTTTCAGCAAGTCAGTGATTCCATGAAGTACAGAATAATTTCAACTTAAAATCACAGCATCTTCTGATAATGACATCAATAAGTCAGCACTGAATTCAAGTGTGAATACAAAACTCTGGGTAGAAAATGCTTATTAATCAATATATAGAAGTCACAAATAATGATTAATTGTACTGAATGGTATACTTAATATTAACAAAGTACATTATTGTTATATAATCTACAAAATAAAAGAGAATACGTTTTACAATACACGGTTATTTTTTATTCCCTATAAATAGATTAGTGCACCTTGTTTATATGCTACCATAAGTTTATTATTTTATAAAGAGAAACTATTATGCCAAATGTCCTGTATTACTCCCCACAAGTCAGCCAAGTTGTTTGGTTGCCCAGTTTCCATATAAGCCTATTCGGAGGTAATCATATTAATACTGTGACTTTATTCGGGTCAAGCCATGGTTGTGAATGTTCCATTGACCTCTATTTTCTCAGGTATAGTTTCATCATATTTGCTGCATGTTTAGATCACCGTCTTGCGCAGCACGTCTTATTCCTGAAGAAATGGCATGATGGATAATAATAATTTCTTTGTACTTGTTAGTAACCAACGTAACAACAATTAGGCTTAGATGCAGCCACACTTGTACATACTTTATCGTAGATTTTTTTTTACTTTCTCCATCGACCAAACTATCGCTGGTCGTTGCCAAATAATTTAAATTTAGATTTGTTTGTAAAGAGCACACTCGTCCAGCATTGCTCATCCAGTTGTTTGTAGTACATGCTCATTTCAACCTTTTGGTTTGGTTTTCTTTCTGAAACAGTGGTTTGGAGCAGCAACACATCCTTTAAGACCACTTCATGTTAATGTGTATCATTCTTTCCTGAGGATAAAATTCACTTCTTTACTTGCAGTTAGGTCATTTGTAAAATCTCTACCGGATTGTCATGTATCACATAAAGAAAAACCCCTGAGTTACTTAATATCACTTTCGAAGAATTTGGGCTTTCTACTTCGACAACTTTTATTACCAACAACACGGTTTTTGAGTACCCTCTACCAAGTTTACCTACATTTCCTGCTGAAACATTAAATGTTGACTCAATCTGTTGAATTGGGTAGTCTTTACCAACCAAAACTTTGTTTTATATACATGTTTATCTTGTGACAGTTCTTTTCTGGGAGTTAGGAATGCATTTACCCAAGTACTGTTGAAAAATTAACTCTATGTGCTTTGATTGGCGTTATGCTGATGTGGCATTGTATGATTGGTTAGGTGAAAGCCAATCGCAGTGCAAACTATAAACAAGTAATTGTACTCTATTGCAGCTCATATTCAAACAATAGAGAAAGAGTGATCCCATAATATCTGTATTTTATACACATAGTATCTAATGTTTCCATTGTTATTTCCAATATTATATATATAGAAATATATGTACCATTCATCACAAACATGTATATATACCCATAGATAATAAATCTTTACACGCGGATGTTTTCTAAATTTTCGTTTTGATATTCAAGTAGGATATATTCTTACCTCTACTGGATTCCTAAGTTAGATCTATGTATGTAATATGATTTTTATGTTGTAATAACTTATTTCTGTTATTAAATTATAATAGATATGTTAAATAAAGTAAGCTAAATACATACCAAGGTAGTTTCTACTCTGACGAAGTTCAGTGATACTAATGTTGCACGCACCACGTGGGATCCTGGCGATGAGATTGTAACCTCTTGGTAAACGAGGTCTTGTAAACAAACCAGAGACAACGTCACATGTGTTGTTTTTTCCTCTGCACATTCCACATTGTTTCTCAGAACTGTCTATTTCACACTGTACTATCTAGAAAAAAAATGAGTCTATTTGCAAAAACAGTTTCCAAGAACATTAAGTAGTATAATGTCAAATATAAAAATCCACCCAGTTTCACCATGATAGACAACTATTACGGTGATATTTTTTCTGTGTGCTAAAGGTCGCTTGTTGACACACAAATAAGCTGTATAAGGTTATTGATAAATATATGTTTGTAATAATGCACTACATGCAGAAACAATAACAAAATAATTGAAACAGAAAATCATTAATTGTAGCTCTTTTAGTTAGAAAAACTCTATGTTATGCCCCTGAAAACTATTTTCTACAAATTACTTTATGCTGTGTGCACACGTACACAAACACTTATATCGATAGAGAAAAAATTTAGAATTCTCGGTTTAGAATTACCACTTTGATGTATGCCGTGTATCCATCAACGTCAGCTAACAACCAATAATGCTTTCTAATTAATTAAACCTATTGCTTTTAAGAGGCTTAGAGATGCTTTTTTATGATTAATTATCTATTTAATTTAAGTTCAGTTATGTACATCTTTAAATTATATAATTATAATTAATTAAAGTTGGTTTTATCTCTGTGCCGTTTCTCTAACATTTGATTTAAAACAAAATTGGAATTGTTCCAAACAATCTCGCAATATTTTTATTTATTTTGCTACGTTTCCCGTAACTCTTGGAAATATACCAGTACTGTTACTTAAGTCTTCGTTTAAGCCTTGTTAGAAGTTTTGTGTTCATTTCTAAAACGGTTGTCATTATGTGTTCAGATCTCACAAGTACATGTGAAATATATCTGTGAAGTTCTAAAATATTATACAGTACTATGTAAAAGTGTTATGACAAAGTAAAAAATCAGATTTCAGGTTACTTTCAAAGAACAGTGGAAGGTACATCACAGGTGAAACATCAGAATTTTATTAATATTCATATTTAGTACAACAGAAACTCAGTGTAAGTGCTTGAGTTCAGCAAACAGTTAATATTTCATGTGTCCCCTTTTGTTTTGATAACTGTACACAGTCTTTCAGGCATTGTTGCGACATATTCAATCAAAGTGTCCTTTGGGATTTTACTCTAAATGTCTCTAATACACTCCCATAAAGATTCTTGGAAGTAACTTTTGATTTGTCAAGTTTTTGATCTGTTTGTTTGTTTGTTTTGAATTTCGCGCAAAGCTACACGAGGGCTATCTGCGCTAGCCGTCCCTAATTTAGCAGTGTAAGACTAGAGGGAAGGCAGCTAGTCATCACCACCCACCGCCAACTCTTGGGCTACTCTTTTATCAACGAATAGAGGGATTGACCGCCCCCACGACTGAAAGGGCGAGCATGTTTGGTGTGAAGGGGATTCGAACCCGCGACTCTCAGATTGTGAATCGTGCGCCTTAACCACCTGGCCATGCCGGACCTTTTGATCTGTCAAATCCTAAATCTGCTCAATTTGGTTAAGATCGGAGCTCTGTGGAGCCATTGCATCACTTGAATGACCTCAGCAGCTTCTTTCTTAGCTAAGTAATATCTGCATAGGCTGGATGAGTGTTTGGGGCTATTATCGTTTTGGTAGTAGAATCCTTTACCAATAACATGCAAACCACTGGGTATACCATGGCAGATTAGTATCTGATGGTACTTGCACTAGTGCATTATTCCATCTATGTTGCAAATATCTCCTGTTGCCTCAGCAGAAAAACACCCCCAAATCATCACACTGATTCCTCCATGCTTCATGGCAGATGCTGTGCATTGAGGTAAGTATCTTTCACTTTTCTTTCGCCAGACATACAACCTACGCTTTGAACCAAATATTTCAAACTTGGATTCATGCGTCCATAACACCCTTTTCAAATCATTAACAGTTCAGTTTTTGTACTTTTGTAGCAAAGTTTAGTCTCATGACAATAATTGTAGATCAAAGTAAAGGTTTTTTTAACAACCACAAGATCAACTATTTCATTCTCGTTGAGTCTTTTTTGATACTGTAGATCTGGACACTTTTCTGTAATTTGGTACATGG